GACCCCAGATTAGCGTACGCCACTGATTTACGACAGTCATGCATCGGTGATTTTGAACTCAGCCAAGATTTGACCAATCAAAATCAACATAGATGTAAACAGAAAATAATGCGCGAATTACGAATACGAATATTTCGCGCGAATACTTACGCTAGCGTTCATTAATCGTCCAGTCTGGACATCTCCCTGGTTACACCATGGATTAACGTACGCCCGGCGTTAGATACGCCTGGCGTATCTCACAGGTCTGAACGTAGCCCTTGGTTCATTTGCATAGCGCTGCGTGCGCGTAGCTTTGCCGAGTGATCTCCTTCTCAATAATACCTCCATGGTTGAACCAGGTTCAACCTTCCCGACGGCTATCGGCGAATGTCGCCAATGGTGAGTGATTCTATGGAAACAGAGCTTCAAGCCGTCGCGTAAGAAATGTTTAATACAACGCAACTGCGTTTGACCCGACGCGACAACAAATCGCATCGGACTGCTCGTCGTACAATAGACCTTTCCGGAGTGTCAATCAAACTTAACAACTGACTAATCAGAAAAACGCTAGGAATACGCGCGCGTCTCACAAACACACGTGTTGTCTCACAAACGCACGTGTTTGCGTATGTTTTAATATTGTCGTCTTGTGGGACCTTAGCAACAATATCCAATGGGCGGGGCTTAGCGGAAAGGCCCATTAAACAGAAGGACGCACATCTCGGAACATCAAAGGTTATAACTCTGGCATCGACATTCTAGGCGCACGTGCGTCCCTACACGCTGAACGTCACAAAAACCATATAGCAACCAGACCATAAACCGTCAGCGTACGTGTCGATTTACACTCACGCGCGTGTTAGTTGCCATGATAATCGCGCGTCGTGCGGTGATTACAAAGGCCTAATGATATTTTGCACTACATTAGACTGAAATATATTCTTCATTTCAACATTAATTTTACCAAAATTGTGGTGAATTTTCGTTCATGACACTCACTTCGCAGAAAAAAATTAATAAATGTTCTGTATATACTCAAATGTTCGTCTTCGGCACCTTATGCCAACATTGTCAAAATGACAGATTAATGTTACATAAGAACATGAAATTTTATAAAATTCGTAAATTTTAAATTGTTATAACTTTTCATTTTCTTGGTCTATTTTCACAAATCAAACTGCAGTTTATAGAAGCATTTAACAAGCTTGCGGTCAAAAAAAGCAGATGTAACAGATATTGCGAAGTACCCAAAATTAATTAAAAAATAAAAACTAACACCATAAAACGAATGGCACGCATAGGCTAATAATTGACGGCTGTACCCGCAACTAGTATCGGATTGTCGATGCCACAGTAAATATCAAAGGACTGTACGCACGCGCTATGTTCGAGAGCGGAGATGTGCGTCCTTCTGTTGAATTACCTTGGTCTGAGTTGGCATCAAAGATACTAGAAATACAAGATAGAGTTCTCCCATAGAGCTATTAAACAATATTCTTATTATATCTCTATGAGTTCTCCACACAAAAAAAGTGTTCCACCGCGTTCCACCGAAATGCATGGTGGGAATACGAAAAATGGGACGCCCCCTACAGATGGATCTAAAAAACTTGTGCCAAACTTTCGTTACCAAGTCGTCGCGTATTTTATTATCAATTCTCAACAAAGATACTAGATATTAAAAAACAAACTGGAATAGACACCCAGACAGTGACATCGGTGAATACATAACCTCCTTGGTGGCGGTAGAAATCGTTGCTATTATCCAAATAATACACAAAACAATTAAAGCATAATCATGAATCAGTAAAGAATAAAACAACAATACAGCGCAGAATCGCATGGCCGGACGCACTCTTAGTGAAAAAGTTTTCCTCCATTAGTGGAAAAGGAAGAGCGCATTTTGCGTCTGGATATACTTAGCCAGAGCCATATATATAAAGAGTTACGACATTCCGCTCCTTGGTTTACGAAAGTCACGTGGTACACACCGTCCATTTTGTTTCATAATCTTCCCGATGAACACATGCAAAGTATATGTGTTACGTACATTAAATATTAATTTCACACACTTAATTGGGTTTACCACTATATTTTATAATTAACATCACTTAGTATGGACAGCGTATAAGAATTCATATATAATCGAATATTTTCGCGCGTGCGTGCTCGCGTAAATGATTGAAATTAAAATTAGAATGTTTTCAATTATCGTAATTCGTCACATTTTAATCAATGAAGACCCGATCTATTTTATCTAATGGTAATCTTTTCTTTGGTTTTAATTGTTTTTAATAGTTTTTTTTCCCGACCTTTTCTGACAATATTAGAAAATGGTTCTTAATTTCAAATCTTTGTACAGCCTGTATAAATACGAATGACAATGAAAATAAAGGTGATGTTTAATAATCTTAAAAATGATTTGCTGTTTCTATGGCATACTATTATATAATTATTATAACTTTATTTTGGAAACGACGCTTTTAAAACAGCGGACACGCTCTCGCAGTGTGTTTATAAAAGTAACATACTGTACAGCCATAATACAATATTAAAATAGAGGCAAGACTTTTAATACAATAAAATGTACGTTACATAATTACACAAGTTGAATATATCACAGATCCTGTATATCATTTAACACTTACAATTTATAACATTTACAACAAAGCACAGTTTATATATTGCGGCCAATTACTGAC